TAAGAATTTTTTAATCAAATTAAATAATTTAAATAAACATGAAAATAATACTAAAAATAAAAAAATAAAATAAATGAGAATAAATCAAAATAAAATAAAACAAAACAAAAAAAAGGGGAAATGTATATTGTAAAACAATTTTTTTGTGTCAGTGCAAGATTTGATTGGCTGTGATTAATTTGCCACATTAAATCAATAGTTTAAAAAATCAATAGAATACATTAAAATCAATAGATTAAATCAATAGATAAAAAAATATATATATGTATTACATATTTTCACTGAAATAAATAAATTAAAATATACAAAAAAGCTATAAATAAAATGTAACAAAACAAAATTAAATTAAATTAAATAAAACAAATAATTAAAACACAAAAAAATAATATAAAATAAAATAAAATAAAATGAAACATGGGTAACTATATATTGTAAAACCATTTTTGTGTGTGTGTGGGAGCGCAATGTTTTCAGAATTAATTTTATCCAAATCTTGTACAGAAGGTTTGGAACAATATGATGGACAGCAAATGGTTACAAAATTATTTTTTGTGTAACTATCTCATTATAAAATCACATCTATAAATGAACAAGTACAAACACAACTAATTCAACTTCATTAACGTCCAAACAAGTACATTAAAGCACTTCAGATCGGAATAACTCAATAATTTGTGATGTAAAACAGGTTTGACATCAGCAGTACCTCAATCAAACCTCAAATGAATGTTTGAGAAACCCATACAGACGGAGGTGAGGCCTGTTCTGCGGTATTCTGGGATCTCTGAGCTAACGCTGCTCTTCCTAATGCAATGTTATCTTAATAGTAAAGCTTAAGTGCTGTTTGATGGTCTTTGCAGATTCTCTGACAAATGTTCAACAGCTACGAAAATGCCACTAAAAGACTTTAATGGGAGATTCCAGAGCTCTTGCACAATCTCTCTTCCCTAAACGTCCTTTCAAAGAGCACATAACTCTAAAATATGAGCTGCGCTGAGAAACCAGCTTCAACTACACCTTAAAAAACCAAACCTACATCCTCTTTAATTCGTCTGCCTTGAGTCGACACATCAACACACATCTAAGAGAATAAATCACCCAAAAATGAGCATTTATTCACTCACGTCTCTTTTCAATGAAGGAAATCTACTCGTACAACAGGGTTTTTGCAGGACGGCTTTAAGAAAGAAAATTTAAGGAACATAATTTGTTGAAAATGAAAATACAACTTCTAACCGATCTTCATTACTTCTTAAATTTATTTTACAAAATGAAAAACTTCATTTGAAGTGAAAAGTTTTCACACCTCACGGACAGACATCTGTTCCTGTTTTAAACGAACTCAATTTTGTTCAATTTCTCAGAAATAGATGTCTTAATTTTGCATCTCTAGTAAATGTTTGTTTGTACTGGGAAACAAGACAAAAATACTGAAGACGACATACATTTTTTGCAGTGCATGTAACATTTAATGCCATGAATTTAAGACCTTTTTAAAATCTGTGTAGGGCAGAATTAAGACTTTTTTAAGACCGGCAGAGATCCTGAACAATGAAAATAAATGGGGACAGAGACTGCCCAGCTCCAAAAATGACAAAAAAAAGTGTCATAAAAATATAATAAAAGACATCTGCATGACTATATTCCAAGTCATCTGAAGGCATAAATTTACGCCTGTTCTTTACACAATTTGTGGATCATAAAAAATGTGATTTTGAAGAAAGTTGGTAACCATACAGTTTCAGGTCCCATTGACTTCCATAGTATGTACAAAAATACAATAGAAATCAATGGGACCCGAAACTGTTTGGTTATCAACTTTCTTCTATATTTATTTCTTCGTTATTTTTGAAGAGCAAATGATGACAGAATTTACATTTTTAGGTGGAATATCCCTAGTAAGTTGCTATTTACTGATACTTTTATAACAATTTGAGGCTGATTTTGACCTTTTGGGAGCTTGATTGCATCTACATTGCTTTTCTAATCTTTTTGTATTCTATCTATTTGTTTTATTTTTATTTTATACAATTAACAAAAGCAAAAAAGGCCTCAAACACTAGCTTGCTCTATTCTATCCGTTTTCTTTTTATTTATTATATAATTTAAAAAAAACCTTGCTGCGTGTACTGCGTTAAGCTAACTGAGACTTGTTATAGCACTTGTATTTCATTGCTCTTTTGTTGATTTTGATTGCTTCCATTGTCCTCATTTATAAGCTGCTTTGGATAAAAGCATCTGCTAAATGTCTAAATGTAAATTCACTTTCATTTTAGATTTTGCAATGAACTGATGAACTGAACAGTGAATGCATGAACTGATAAAAATGCATATTTTGAATGCAACGCAAGTCGCTTCAGATAAAAGCACCTGCCGGAATGCATGAATGTAAATGATCTAAAGATTAAAAAAGGTCCGGAATAACATACGTGTGAGCAAATGAAGAGTTAATGTTCCTTTAATTGTAATTCAGAAATTTTCTAATAACTGTGATGATAGATGAACAGTTAAAGATTCGGCAGAGGCCAGGACACTCGCTCCAACCCTCTGAAGAAACAGAGCATTATGTGCAGATGCGAACATCTTGAGCGCATTAGATCCTGCGTGTCCCGTCATGGGAAGACGAACCCGGCCAAGAGCTCCATAAGCAAACAGCTCTTCTGCTCTGGAGGATCTGCTGTCATATTTACACAATCCCTGATCGCATCCGGACAACCATGAGTTTGCTTTCAATGGGGGTTCTGCGTGAACTCTGAGAAGATGCAGTTTGCGGGGAAACTAATGTTCAGAAGTTTATAATGTGTTTGAAAGAAGTATCTCCTGCTCACCAAGGCTGCATTTATTTGATCACAAATACAGTAAAAATGTGATATATTATTACAAATTAAAATAGCTGTTTTCTGTGTGAATATCAGCATCATTACTCCAGTCTTCTGTGTCACATGATCTTCAGAAATCAT